AAATGCTCCAATTTTATGGCAGATGTGTTATGCTTTGACATTTTTCTACCACCGAATATGGAGCACAGACTCCTTCTGATTTACCGCCCTCCAAATTTGACTAGTGCCCAAGATGAGATTCTGTTATCGATTTTATTTGACCTCGCCTATGCGAGGCCTGTCATAACAACTGCGTTAGGAAATTTGGGCATCCATATTGATTGGGTAAACACTCTAACGACTCGCCTTCCGCAGCTTGATTTCTCTCCTTTTCCGATCCCATCATTCACTCCGATTGTTAACTTTCCTACACGTCAAGGAACGGTTCTGGATATCGTGATATCAACACGTGGGGGTATTTTTCAAGAAGTTCCGCTTTGTCCACTTCCCTCGTCTGAACATAGTATAGTCTCCTCTCTCTCATTCTCCTTGCTTAACGCCCAGTGACCTGAGAAATGCGTGACGGTGGGAGACTCCAAGAGCATGAACAATTATGCCATAACATATCACCACATGCGTATAGATTGTTTAGCAGTCTTTTCTATAACGAGGATATCGATGATGTTTACGCAAGGTTCTGCTGTCATTTCACAGTGTGGTTTGTCTCATGGAGGTAATTCAAGAGCCACACAACGAGTTATCCTCCTCACCTACCGTATCTCTATCAGCAGCGAGAACGGATTTTTCACCGAAATATTGATCGCAGAAGTTCTGCTGCCTCCCTAGAAGTCAGCAAAAGCTAGACCATCAGCTAATGCCTGTAAAGTAAAAAGACTAGTCGATGGGAGCGTTACCGATCGATCCCAACCAGCCATCAAATGTGATTCCTCGCGACCAGCTTTCTTTCGACCACAAGGACACAGATGGCTATAAGCATGAGCTCCTGGCAGGCATTCAGTTGGCACAGGAGTACGCCAAGCAGCTTAACGACAAGTACGAGACACGTATGAAAAATGGATATGAGAAGAGGAACAAGGTCGATAATGATAGGTTGTGAAAGTAGGAGACAGAGTATTCTCAAAGCTTCTTAGAAAAAAAGCTGGTAAGAAATACCCAAAGTTAAGCGAACCTTGAGGAGGACCACACAGCGTTATCGAGACTAGCGACAATTCATCGCTAATATCTAATATAAATGGGAAGGAAGAACCCATTCTAATTCCACTCGATGCGCTTATTATTGAAGTCCTGATCAAAGTTGAAAGTCCATCAAGAATAATCACAACAAGAAGGAAAAAACGGCGTCAGCTAAACGTTAACACTATTGATTGCAGAGCTGCGACGAACGGCAACGACACGAGCCCACTCGGTCTATTTTTCCGCTGTGGAAAGTATGGGCAAAATGACGATGGATAAGTGTACTCGTGCTTGTTTGAGGGAAGACATTCACAGTTGTCGTCTCGACAGCATCGGGAGCGATAGGAAAAATCCACTTTGATGCGAAGAGCACAGGCGGTTTCTGATGTTAGGTTCGAAATGTGGTAGCACTAACATTACAGGCGTCAGAAGTCGTATCTATTTTATACGAAGTACCGTGACCACGTATTTCGAAATTTGACCCTTCATGACGGTTCGCTTCTATGTCTAACGCACGATGGCGGAACTGGCCTACCGTTGGAAGAACTCAATCAGGCTACGAACGATAGTGTTTGGTGTGGCAAGTCCAACGATTGGGCGAAATGGTCAGGGATGAACGTACTAAGATCCTAATGATATTGCCCGACAGTCCGCTGCGTCAGTAGTGCCCTTTTGGAAAATCCAGATGTAGAACGCCAGTGATTTCCTCCTTCCCTTTTTACATAAGCTTTTGTAGCCGTAGACGGCAACGCGCTCCAACTTTAGTGATGTTGACGATGTTCGATTGAGTATCAAACTTGATTATTCCTAGATAGTTATTTTTGTTAGCTCGTGTCTTTTACTTTTTGCATGTTATTTCTTCTTCTCTTGAGTTGTTATATTGCGGATTTACGACTATTTCGGTTCTTTGCTATTTTGATTGTCTTAATACTTTTTGTCGCTAGTGTTCATTGGTTTTTGTCAACCTTCATCCACTGATGAGCCTCGGGGTTGGCAAAAAACAAAGTGGTTCGTCGGGAAGTAGAAGGCGAAACGAACCATCAAGTAAGATTTTATACTGAATATGTTTTGATTGTTATTTTCCCTTTTTGTAATCATGGCACACTCAGCGACATCGGAAGACTTCTGGAGAGCTCTGCAGCTCGCATTTGTGTACTGGTCGGCCCAAAGACAGATGAGCTCATTCCCAGACGCGAATGGTACAAACTCGCGACATCACCCCCCACGGCAGCTCGTACCGGTATGAAGGTGATTACAGTCGCTTCTCCTCGAAAGACAAATCATACGCAAGGAGCAGGTCTGACATGGTCGAAGGAATCGACTGGCGAAATCGGAGGCAGTAATCATGAAGCAGAGTTCGAGGTGCCTCATTCTAAGTATTGGATCACCACAGCAAGCGTCACACGGACCCGGAGCTAATCCAAGAAAGTCCAGCGCAGAAGCATATTTTAAAGAAGTCATAGAAGAGTACCACGACGCCATAAGAACTTATGTTAAAGCAAAAGTGGAATCACCTCCTTGCAAGCCGCTCCGAGAAGCCATTCGTCTCAGACTCGTCTCTACTTCGAGCAGAGGAAGCGAATCAATGGAGGAATTTCAAAGGAAAATGTGAAACTCGATCCTGGTATGTACATTTGGGAATGTTCAATGCACGATGCAGCCTAATGATGAGAGCACAACAGATGTATGCGCCTCAACTTCCAATTGTGCAGCACTCACTATTGATGTTCCAGTCATCTATCCCATTAGGCCATTAGATAATTCTTTTATCATTGCTGTCGTTGCGATTTTGTAAAGTTGGTNCCTGGCAAGCCGCTCCGAGAAGCCATTCGTCTCAGACTCGTCTCTACTTCGAGCAGAGGAAGCGAATCAATGGAGGAATTTCAAAGGAAAATGTGAAACTCGATCCTGGTATGTACATTTGGGAATGTTCAATGCACGATGCAGCCTAATAATGAGAGCACAACAGATGTATACGCCTCAACTTCCAATTGCGCAGCACTCACAATTGATGTTCCAGTCATCTATCCCATTAGGCCATTAGCATAATAATCCTTTTATTTTCATTGCTGTCGTTGCGATTTTGTAAAGTTGGTATGATTCGATGTTTGTTATAAAGATAACGGACAAAGTAGCCTCGCTACTTCTCATACTGCGGAAGCAGCTGCGACGCCGCTTCCCCTGGGGGGAGGCATGATACGGTAGGTTGCCACTGTGGTCTACAGTATGTAGACACAGCGGACTAACGCTGACCACCTACTGTGTGGTCCGTCCAGACCCTCCTTGACCTACACACACACTCGTGCCTTACCTACACTTTGGGCGGGAGTCCCTTCCTAAAAATAGCCCCTTTGACACTACTATAGTTCACTCCTTCTATTCTGGTACTCGGTTACATTCTCGTCACGGGAGTGGCTGTTCGTCTACTGTTCTAATAAATCTCCGACTTCATCACCTCATCTTAAAGCATTCCAGGTAAACTATCTAGGATTACCACTTTAACCGTGAGTCCTCTCGATGAGTTTGAGTTCGTAAAAAAGGGGAGCAATCCGCTACTTGTCACAAAATGTATGTGCTTCCTGTAGTTGTGTACTGTAGTACTGTGTGGTTGAAGACGTTAAAGAAGTTGAGAAAATTCAAAAATCCTTCAACTAAATTTTATTTTATCGAGCTTTCCCAAATACAGACTACCCTCAAGCATTGTCGGCTTACCATGATAGGCTTATGGGCCAAACCTGAAGAATATGTTCCACAAACGTGTTGAAACTTATCTGGCTTTAGCTAACAACCTTCCAAGAGGGGAGCTACGTATGAAGCCGCCTCAGTTTTGACCGTTTTGATCGACTTGCAGGCGAAGAGGCTTTTTGAGTTCTGCGTCACAAAATGGGCAGGCGACGTCAAAGATTGTAAGCGAGTAATTGCATCATAAGGATAATGAAGTGTCTGAAGTCTCTATTCACCCAATTCTTGGCACTCAACAACTTATGCTATTTTAAAAAAGCCATCAAAAAGTCCAATGTTCTAGATCCGCTGTGCATCTCTGATGTATGCTAAAGACGCTTTTGTTTCTCCTTCTTGCTTCGATGTATCTTTTTCCCGCTTCTCGTCCAGCGGTTCTATCTCTGCTTAATACGAATCCAACGCACTTACGAGATGATTCAGCTGCCCTCTATATCTATGTCTATAGATATGCTTCTTCACATACATGTGCACTTCGATGGCGAGGGCCTTCTGTCCTGCTCACTAGTGTCCACTTATCTCACCCGCAGTGGTCACCCAGCTTACCGTCTCCACGTGGGATGAATATCCGTGTTTCGAAGTTTCGGTAAGCCTTATGACCCCGCATGTGGCTAGTGGGTATCACTGCCGACTGATGCAGGTCTGCGAACGCGAGTTGCTTCGGGAGGTTCTGTCCGCAGTGTACATGCTTGTCTCTCTTCCTAGAGTGCATAGAAGCTTTATACTGTGGATAAGGCTTGCGTGTCGTGATCCTTCCCCTGCCTTAGAGGCCTTTTGAGGAGTGATCCGAACCGCTTGACGAGTTAGCCAACTGCTTATTTCAAATTCCTCACTTACTCATCTTTCTCGCCCATACTCAGAGATTGCTCAACTGCTTCTGTAATATGCTTTCCTTGCGTGTGCTGTTGTTGTGTTCATCGGCTTTTTTCATTTTTTACAACCCCAATTCTAAATGAAATGATTGCTGCCTGCTGTAGTTTACCGCCTGTATAACCAAGGAGGGGTAGTCTACTTACTGGGACTTTGAATGGAGACCCAGATAAATACATAGAATTTTGAATGCTGTTCACGAAAATGGAAATTAAATATGCATAATGGTTTTCTTCAAAAGGTCAATTGAATAAATAAATAAATAAATAAATAAATAAGTAAATAAATAAATAGTAGATTTCAGTAAGATTCTGGGCGCACATGGTGCAAGGTATGTGTTATGTTGTGAATACAGACTTACATCGGAATATTCTGGCGAACTCATCGCGAAAATCTCGATAAAGCCAAAGGTATACAAAGATATTGAACGAAGAATTAATAATGCTGGCCCAGTTGAACGTTTGTGATATCCATTCATCCATTCCAGCCTGTAACGATTGGCCTTTACTTAATTCCTATACGCAAAATAATGAAGAAAAGTAGTCGTCATTGTCTTCAGGACAAATAAATCCAAATCCAAATTATAAATCCAGCTTCCATTTGCGACTACAAGGATGCTTAAATAGCAACTCGCCAGAATACTCAATCACAATCTTTACCAGAGGTATGTAGGCGTGCATTGATTCGATTGTCTAGGTAATCACCGCGCACGTTGCCCACGACCCATTGCGATCAAACTTTACAAATGTTGTCTTGAACATGCAACGATATGTCGTGATTGGATTCGAAATGAAGAATGGTTTTTGTTTCTCTCGAGAGCTTGAGATCTTGTCTCCTTTGCATGTTTTGTTCGTTGGCAAATCAGTCTTTCAGTGATGTTCCAGTTAATGCTTCAAAACTCGACTTTACCCTTGCTGCCTCTATTGAGTTCGCGCCACGTGTGCAGAGACCTTACAGAGTCGACAACAGATTGCCACGTCCCCTGAACGGCGTTGAACCATCCAGGCTGGCTTAACACTGCATTGGGCTTTTTGGCAAGCATCACTCGTTCGAAGAATTCGTCATTCCGGTGCGGGATGATCATCTGATTCTCCAACTCGTTACTCACTTATAGCAAGACAGGGAACGTAACCCTTTACACTTCTGGATTTGCATTCAGTTTGACCTTGAGAGGGTGTATAGTCGGCATGTATAGCATACATAGGATCTGCTTCGATTACTATTACTATCTCTCGCATTTATAAAGCAGAAACTTGGTGTGTCGGTTTGTCGGTTTGTGTGTCTGTTCGTCCGAGAAATTTAGGATTACGATAAAGGATATGGGAAACCCAGCTTTATTCTACATTTCCCTACATTTGTTCACCTAAGGGTTGGGGGGAGGGGGAAGAGGGGATTTAACTGCTCTGAAAAATAAGGAATGGGGCCCAGCGTAAGCCGTAAAAGATANACAAAGGATCTGCTTCGATTACTATTACTATCTCTCGCATTTATAAAGCAGAAACTTGGTGTGTCGGTTTGTCGGTTTGTGTGTCTGTCCGTCCGAGAAATTTAGGACTACGATAAAGGATATGGGTGACCCAGCTCTATTCTACATTTCCCTACATTTGTTCACCTAAGGGTTGGGGGGAGTGGGAAGAGGGGATTTAACTGCTCTGAAAAATAAGGAATGGGGCCCAGCGTAAGCCGTAAAAGATAACTATTGTTTTTTCACAAGGATTGGAAATCAACGCTGAGAAGAAGTGATTTTACTACCCCTTTTTGCAATGCGGAAGTACATTTTGGTAGAGACTATCAGCGCATACTTTCTTTTTTCAAGCACTAGAGCTCTAATAAGAAAGCTGCCGATGTCGTAATGTTTGAGGGTAGTCTGCGATCATGCCCCTAGTTACAAAGCAATTGTTAGCTAGTACAAACGCTTCAATATGTGCTTTTCTGAAGACCAACAGAAGTCTGGACACTCATCTGAACCAAAATGAGCGAGTAGAAATGGATCTTTTTCAATTTATGTACAACGGGATTGGCAAACATGGTTACAGTTGACAGCTCTGAAACTGTGTTGAAGATACTGGGGTTGGAGATCGAGCTGGGGTGATATGTATGTACCGCACCACCCTGCGCCTGTCGATCGTGATTGCTGTGTGGATGCTTGACTCTGCTCAATTTGCACAAAAGAAATTGACCATTGCAGTATGTCATCATTGGCCACGAGAAGTGGATGATCCCGTCCTACAGGAAACCTTAGTGGAGCTCAGCAAAGGTATTCCCTTCATGGAAATTATGCCGACAATTTGAGAGATATACATGCGCCCGTACTTTGGCAGCTGCTGTATGAGGGAGTTCTTTCACTACAAATCTCTACAGGCAACAGCTAGGGATATGAAACAAATCGTGGATCAGCGAGAAGAACTGCTCGGACAGTCTCCTAGTACGACGACGTGAGAGCTTACGTTGCAAGAGAGGTAAAGTTGGAACTCGCGCACAATAGTACATACATATTTTCATCTGAACATTACTAAAGTTAGAGTTCACGATAATTTGGAGTATGTGGTGGTTTTGGCTCAATAATGGTAGTGATCGCTTAGGATAGTCCGATTGCGGCGAAGAAAACGCAAAAATTGGCGTTTTGTGAGAAACATATAACTTCGAAAATGAAGTAAATTTAGGGGTTGGACGAGAACGTCACGATAAAGAGGGTATTTGGAGTATTGGGACGAGCTGTCCAAATGCGCACGCCACTGCATACAGTTGGCTGCTGTAAGCAGGCTGCGTGCAAGGTCTAGGTCCCGGTGCAAATGGTGCAACCTCTACAGCTCCTACACCTGGAAATGGTCCGCTTTGGATGTGTAGGTCGGATAAGCCGGTTTTGGATCATTTATTACCTGTCTATCGATATCACCGTTCTGACGGCGTCCCTTCGGCTATCTTTGGAGATCGCAAGTTCGAATTAGGGGAAGATCTCAGAAACCCTTTTTATCGTGAACTGTGCCTTCAAAGCGCGTTAACAGGAAATTGGGCAGAACTTCCAGCCAATCTGATAGTTATGATTTGCTGCCGCAGTCCGACTTGGCTACCAAACTTTCGAAGTTACCTCAAGACTCAATCTTTCGCTTGAAAGTGATTACATTTTTTCACTGAAAAAGTGTAAAGTGTGGAGTTTTAGAAAAAAGCAATGTCTTACGAAGCGGAGTTGTTCGAGGAACAGCGATTTCACGTTTGGCACTGACACCAGTACCGTCGAGAGCACGCCAAGTGCTAGTCCATATCGTATCCTCTTCATTTGCTCTCGCACTGTGCTGCAATCAAGAGAAAAACGAGATATTACAGCATCAGTCACTGGTTATCAATAACAACAACAGAGCCTAGTCACCAGGAATCTGATACGGATTCTGAGAGTGGAAGAAAAACATACGGCGTTGTTATAACCGACTTCGCTCGCAAATATGCAGCAGCGTTCATCAACAGGCCAAAAAAGTAACCTAACATTTCCCAGTAGTAAATGGATTGAGCATAGAATAACGAGAAAGTTGCCTTTCTGCCTGAAATAAAGGATAATCGTTGCTACTCGTAGAGACATTTGTAAGAAAAAAAAGTTTTGAATGGGCATGAAAAGTAGGCAGTCAATTTACAAGGTACTCATTAATTGACTGTCCACGTGCCGTATCACTCTTCTAACAGCATTGACTATTATTCCTATTTGAAGCGGACGGGCGCAAGACAAGAGCGGACCACGAGAATTTCAGGCAGTAGGTAAGACAACCAAAATTGTAAGACCGTGTGAGGCTATGAATGAAGAGAAAAGAACCTCTATTCACTTAACAGAACCATTATAATCCCAGAAACTTCGTTAAGTTCTGCTATAGTGGAAATTCAATGCTTTATAGCGGTCCGGTCCAGTATCTGTTAAGACCTCGCTTGTCACCATGGCTTGGGTGAAGCAGCTTCAACCATGTCAAACATGGGGGACGGGAAGTAAGATCGGTTCTGTGTAATCGATTCGCCGCGGTAGAGCTATAATAACGGCGAAGCGTATAGCCCGCTGTTATTATAGCTGTCGCGAACCATTCGCATCGCCATTATTAATAGCTCTACCTTTCTTCATACAGTTCAATTGATATGCGATCATTATTTGGGCATGATTCGACTGTTAGTTCTTTTGTTCCTGTATTTCTTACCTGCTGCTGCATTCTGCTACATCCCTTTGCGCGCGGCGTACTTCTCGCCGTGACGCGACGATTTCGATCCTAATGCACCACACCATAACATTTAGTGCTCGAGACCATTCAACAATTTAAGCCCTTTTCTACTCTTATTACTGCTAGTGCATTGATTTAGTGCATGGTATTTATGATGGTCTGTCCAAGGGAATAATGAAGGGTATGCAGTTTCAACGTAGTTTTTACTTTTCTAGTACGTACCACAATCGAACTTCACGTAACCGTTTCCGCTGTTCATGATCGCCAAAGCTATTCCAATTGCACAGAATAATAGAACAGCGAAAACGCTGATGGCACATAAATAGAGTGTCCTGAAAAATATGCATTTCAAGGACAAAAATTTTTCAAGTTCCCAAACAGAGAGATGTTATATTATGTTATGTTTATTAAGCTGCTAAGGCAAACTAGTATAGAAATGATAACAACCTTCTGGAACCAACTTAAACGGAGCAAATACAAGGAACATATGTAGATAAAATGTAATCGTATAAAGAGGAGCACAAAAAACAAGGCAAATGACTCCTAGTTAGTTATAAAACAAAGGTGTAGAATAAGAAATGGTCAACTGCAAAGAACTATGAAGCTCATACTTAGACAAAATTACTTTCACAGACGTTTGAACTTAGTCGAGGAATCCAGAGCGATCAAGTTTTTTGTGACCTTTTGTAGAAGCTAGCCGCTGAAACTTCTGGCTTTTATACTGGTTCTGGGTCTAGAGAGATTTATTTTAGTCTGACCTCCTCCGGGAGTGAGCCACATTATAAAAATCAAAAGAACCAAATTTATTACTTTGGTACAATAGCCTGTAAACCATGCATACGTCAAATACTTTGCGCCGTGATTCCAAAGTAGAGAGTTTAAAGTATTTGTTGCGAATAGATGCTTTAGGAATTCTTGAATAGAACAATCTCCTACATCGGCAGAGGATTTTACGCGTAAAATTGTTTTGCACCTTCTCAAATGCTTCAACGTCCCTTCTCCTAGATAGGTTGAACACAGCAGCACCACTCTCAACCAAAGGTCGAACATATATTTTATAAACTCTGAGAAGTATGGACCTATTGGTGGAAGACAATCCCTTGAAGATGTGCAGTGTACGCAAAAAGGCCAGGGTACACCGGGTTCTGATGTGTTCAGAAAAGTCAAGTGCGTCAGTATAATGAAAACCCAGGTGAACGATGAACGATGAACTTCAAGAGCAGGAGCAGCCCGCCAGCGAATACAAGAATTTTGTATAAAGATGTCTAGATTGGTAACATACAAAACAATCTGGTTTTTTACTTATAAATTTAGATTTTATTTCAGGTATTCTTATACTAAGGAATTGAACCGAACAGGAACAGAAACTTTAATCACAAAATATATTGAATTTTTTCGCGG